TTTAAAAAAAAATTTGTTAAATTTGATCAAGTTTTTGTTAAGTTATTCTTGTTTAAAGTTTTAAAAAAATTTATTAAGAAATATTTGCTTGATTTCTATTGACTCAACCCCATATTTTTTTTGAATTAATACGTCAAATTTTCGTCAAGTTCTATCATATGTATGTTAATAATAGTTGACGAAATGAAACAGTTTCGTCAATGGTTTCGTCTGACGAACCTTTCGTGATTGATGAAACTGATAATTAACGATACTCTATGTAATTAATTTAACCAATAAAATATAAAATTGCAGTTTTACCTCTTTTAACGAACGAACTCTGAATAAAGTTTCATTGTTACATATGAAAACATTATAATTTTTGACGAACATTTTATGCAAAGTTGTGGGTTTATTTTAAAATTCTTCTAACAAGTGCTATTTTCCTTAGCCTAATTAAAGAAGTGACTACTTGTAAGTATTAGAATTTACAAGTCTATGTTACGTACTATCAAAAATATGATTTTCGGACGTCCTGTTCCGCTGTATAGTACTATTTTGTTAAATACTTGTAATATTAATATTACAATTAAGTCCGGTTTCCGGTTAAAAATACTAGCAAATTTTACTCTGCAGCGCTTACTATTACTGTACCGTTACAATATTTATACTGGTTAATATAAAACTGGTTTAAGCTCGACGTGAAACTGGTTCGTTTCACAAGATTTTTTTTTACGCTTCGGAATTCACCGGAGTTGGGTGGCATGGATAGCGAGCTACGACTTCAACACAAAAGTTTGCTGATTCCAGCACAGTCGACCATGATTCCGCTGAATTCCGACCTTGTGGCCCAAAACCTACGACCTGTATATCCCATTACTGTACAGAAGTAGAAGCAACTGCTATGAGAAAAAGTAATGTATAAAACGCATGCCAAGGTAATTTCGAAAGACGTACGTACGTACATATGTTAACAAAACTTTATAATCTAGTGGTCTCTTTTGATGATTAGGATTAGACGAGCGCTATTACTAGCATACATATTCTTTTTTTATTGGAAAAAAAGCTTTTTATTCTTACGAACCTAATTTAATTTTCATATCAATACAGTACTTATTTACCATACATTACATAAAGCATATATGAGTGCTGCCAAGGGAAAAGGGAAACTTTGATCTATTAGTATATCATGTCTTTCTGATCGGGTTTTCAATTTTATAGTATAATGCACATAGCGGCTATGTGTATTACTTTATAAAATTGAAAGCCCGATCAGAAAGACATGATGTACCGATAGATCAAAGTATCCCTTTTCCCTTGGCAGCACTCATATACGTACGTACGTACTCGATAAAATGCATGCTCCGGTACTTTATATCTGGCAGTTTGTGAACCTTACTAAAGTTACATAATACGATAACAAAGTACTGTATACTAAATTATTATAAAAAAATAAATAAATACAGTACTTATATGTATTGTATGATTTTCTGTACAACGAAATCGCAACATTCATATGGTATAAAAAAAAAAAGCAATTCTAGATTTACCGTTAATCTTGCTACTTTATAACGATACAGTATCATAATTATGGATAACGATAAAGATAAATTTAAAATTCCACCTGCTATTCCAACTGCTATTACAACTGTTGCAGAAATTGTAGCCTTATACGTTCCTTTAGTCAATGCTGTAAATATAATAGCTAGAGAAATTAATCATATTTATGAGAATGCAGAATGTAATAAAGAAATTTGTTTAATTATGACGAATCGAGTGAAGACAGCTGAATATGCTATAGAAATGATGATGAGAAATATAGAAGATAATCAAGAAAATATTCGTAAAAAAGAATATTATTTAGCTTTTCAAAGTTTTATAAATGTTTTACAAAAAGTCAAAGATTATACCAAAAATGTGGCAAAGCTTAAAGGATATAAAAAATTTCTTAGTGCAAATGATGTTAGAATTAGATATGAAAAATTAACTGATGAATATAATAAGTGTATGGGTGATTTACAATTTACTTTAGCCGTTGTTAATGAAACTCAAAGAAATAGGGATTCGGCAAAGGTTACAAAAGCTCTAGCCGACGTTCAAGCTGTAAGTATAAACTTGAAATGTTATTGTCGTTTTTACATTAATTATATATATATACATACATCTATTTTTTTATTATTTAGGTACTCAAAAATCTCGAAGGCATGAAACAGAAAATCGATATGATAGCTCAAGAGATAGCTATCATAAAATCTCAAAACTCAAATGATGTCCATGCTCATAACATCAATCCAAATGAACTGAGTGAGCCACATCAAACTTCAAAGTCCGATATTCGTGGTTCAGATCAACTTCCTATTACGAGAAAGTTTTATAAAGGTGGTGTTGAAGTTGCATGTAAACCCATTAGAGATCCTAATAAAAAACTTGAAGCAGAATTAGCAATACTTAAAAAATTAGGTGAATCGCCACACATTCTTCGTTTTTATGGTCTTTCAAACTATGATAATCATAAAGTTATGATCTTTGATTGGGCTAAATATGGAAATTTAAAAGAACTTTATAATATATATAAGATTCCTTGGCCTAGGAAAGCACAAATCATCCGTGATATCTGTCGTGGTATAGTATTTTTACGTAGAGTAAATGTTCTTCATCATGATATTAGATGTGAAAATATTTTTGTAAGTATAGCTTTATAAAATTTATTGTTATTTATTTAACATTTTAACGATACTAAAAATTTTAGATTTACAGGTACGAGATAATTTGGATCCAAAAATTGGAAATTTTAGATATGCTCGTGATGCTGACGATATTACTACGAATCTTTCGGGTTTAGTAACTGATATTCTTCGCTGGATGTCTCCTGAATTGATCAAAAAATATAAACAAAACAAATATGAAGAAAAAGTATATACATTTAATTGTGAAATATTCAGGTATTTATCACTATTTGGTTTTATAAGGATCTTTAATTTTAATTTTTCAATTTTTTTTTTTTAATACTTAATTTTGTAATTCCGTAATTAGTTTTGGAATGCTTATTTGGGAACTTTGTTATGAAAAATTGCCTTACATAGATTATGACGCTGTCACAATATCAGACCATGTTTTAATTGGTAAACGAGAAAAACTTTTGCTTGGAAGATTTAGAAATCCCGTTGATAAGGAAATTCAAAAAGAATTTATTGAAGTTATTGATAAAAGTAAAAATATTTATTTTTTTTTAATTTCTTTACCTTTTTTTTTTTGATTTTTAAAATTTTATATTGATTTCCTTAATTGTATTTCCTTTTTTTAGCATGGCATCATGTACCACATCAACGAATAGCTCTTGCGAATTTACACAATAGACTTGAAGCATTAGCTGTAAACTATCCAACCTCTCCAACAGAAAAACTTTTACAAGATAAAACTAATAGTTTTGATAAAACAATGGGAGAAGAAGGTCCATCTGTTAGATTTGAAGTGCCTGTAACACCTCTTGAAAAAGGCATTGAATTTCATCAAGCTAAAAATTATAAAAGTGCTTGGAAATGTTTCGAAGAAAATGCTAATCTTGGTAATATCGAAGCAAAATATTGGCAAGGTTATTATTATTATTATGGTCATAATAATATTAAAAAGGATATAAATCGTGCAAAACAACTCTTTAAAGAAGCTGCCGATAATAATCATACTATTGCTCAAGTCCGATATGCTGTTGCTTTACTTTCTAATCTTAGTAAAGATGATGATGAAGCTACAAAAGAGGATAATCGTAATCAAATTTTACATTATTTTAAATTAGCCGCTGAAAAGAAAAATGCTGATGCAATGTATTATCTGGGTGATATTTATGTTCATGGTAAATTTAAAGTGCAACAGAATAATGATAATAGGGAGCTTGGGATGAAGTATCTTAAATTAGCTTCTGATAGTAATCATGAAAATGCCATTAAATTGTTAAGACAATTAAGTATAAAAAAATAAAATTATCACCTTCTTAAAAGTATTTAGAGTCGATCAATAGAGATGCATTGTTTCTATTATATACCGACATTTTATTTTAAAAAATTTGTTTATTTCTACTTTTTGTAAATTTTCAAAATTTAGCGCGATTATGAACACTAGAATAATTGAATAGGCCTTTTTATATTGTTCATTATTATGTAGCTATAAATGCCGTGTATTATAACACATATTATTTCAAATATTAAAAAATCGAATCTAATTTACGATTTGTCATTATAAATTGTAAATAAATTACTACTGTTGTACTGTATAAAAATATTCAGATACAACCGTGAGTTGCAAATATTTAGTACTAAAATAATTGAATAAAAATAGTCTTATGAACAAGCTCAGTTGCAACAAAAAATTATTCAAATTGTTGACTAACACCACATATTTATCCCTTACACCGTTCTATATGCAAATTTGCTTGCGAATTTCCGATGGGGCAGATCTTATATGAATTGATTAAGGATATAGTACTATAAGTAGAAATCCTATTCGAGGGCTTTCGGCCAGTGCATAATTTTTGCATCCTTTGAATCTTCATATACTTTTTTGGACCTTCAGAAGCGACAAGGCAACTTTACGTAAAAATAATAATAATAATCATAGAATTTCAGAACTTTGCATTACCAACACAATAATGCAAGCAAGGCAGTGATTTTTGGGATCAAAACTTAATATTTAACTAAGATAATTGAACATCTGCTTTCAGGAAAGTGTATCTTTATTATATGTCATGGCAAATACTTTTGTCATTCCTCTGTTCTTTATTATATGTCATGGCAGATACTTTTGTCACTCCTCTGTTCATTATTCTATGCAAGAATAATATTAGTTTTCAATTGAAGTCTCATATTAAAAGGGCCTATTTTTACGTATAAATATCCAGTGAGAAGACTGTAATAAAACACTAATAACATAATAAAGATCTACGATAAAAATTTTAGCGAATCTCAATTAGTCAAAATTGTCTTTTAATATGAAGCGTCATAATTACCCACGTCCTTTCCAAACTTAATGGGCGACGCATCTCTTGAACTCATGCTTGCAACATTAATTATTTTCAATTATCTTTTATTATAAGACGTATCAACTTTTTCGTAATAAATATAAAGCTTCGTTGATTACTAAAAAAAGTTTTATTTATTCAATTATTTAAATTTCATAGCTGGCAGGAATTGAATCAATTCTTATAGTTAGAAGCGTTTTCAACTCTACAGTTATATAAAATATACATTGATTACAAATATTTATGTTTGTAATTCAACAAATAAGGTAATTATTTTTATGAACTTCATAGGTAATGCTTGGACTAAAATATTCAGCCTCATAAGTTGCGTTTTTACTAAAATGTCCTGAAATCTCACATTCGCGACCTTCACAGCCACATCTAAGGTGTTCCATAATAAATTCCTCCTTAATTTGGCCAATAAAATTTGGAGCTTCATCAGATGAATATAAGTTAGCAAATTTTGAATTCGGATTAATACCAATTTTTTGAATCTCTTCTGATATATTATTACTAGAATGCATAATAGGAAATTTATTAAATATAGCATCATAAGGAGGGTCCAAGAAATAAAGAAAATTGAATTCAAAATTTGGTAAAGTTTTGCATGTTGAATATTTTGCCTCGCCTAAATCATAACCATAAATATATGTATTGATCCTGTCGTTGTACCGGCAAAAATGATTACCGATAACTAGCGAATCATAACTCTTTCTCAAAATTCTAAATACGGGTACACCCAATAAAAAATCATATTTAATGGACTCTGAAAGTTTCCATTCGTATATTTCAAATGTATGGTTATTAATTGATTTTAGAATATTGTTTTGATTAAATTCTATTTTAAAACTTTGAAGACGGAAATTAAAATCCGATGCTGAATAATTAAAATCAAGATCGTACCCAACAACTATCCAGCGTATCAAAATGTGATAATTTTTTGGTTCATTTCTCTGATTGAGCTGAATACAATGAATAGCTATTCCATAATATGTATTTGCAGCGAATAACCTGAAAGTGAAAATATCACTATCTTCGATGTTAGAAACTGTTGCAAAAATTTGACAGTCTTTGTGAAAATTTTTAGAAATCTCTCGAGGAATTGGTAGCATAAGTAATAAATTTCGGCTATGATCATTGTAAATACGTTGGAGTTTTTGTTCACCAGCATAGACTATCTTTTTTCCAGACAGTTTCTTAATATAAGTTTGCAAATCCTCGTCTAGATAATGAAATATGGATTTAAAAGGTTTTTGAAAGCAAATCTCCCATTTTCTAAAATCACCATAGAATTCAACTATATTGGGAATGAAACATCCAAAATCATCTTTGATTGTTTCTAAGTTATTTATGCATACTAAATTATTCTTTATTGCAGTTTTAAATTCTTCTGTTGGTGTAGCTTTTATGATTGTCAACCGTACATTACCAAGCTTCCTATCAGTGAGAAAGCCATCAGAAAGAAGTAGTTTACAATCTTCAATAATAAGTGCTCTTCTACTTGCTACGTCGGTTTCATCATATGCGATAATACTTCTATTTGCTTCGTCGGTTCCTTCATATGTGAAAGTACGTCCATTTCCAAGATTGAATATATTTACTAATATGCGCCAATCTAGTCTTTTAAGAAAGATTTTTTTTTCTTCTTCGTCCAGGATATCTGCACATCTGCGATTTTCTTCACTTTTAATTGTGATTATTTCGCCTCCACGTTCTATAAAAACAATTTTTTCATCTCTTATTTCTATAAATTTATTTGTCTCAAGTTCTTCTCTTACTCGTTTCAATTTATATGACTTTTTCAACTTTAATTTTTTTAGTTCACCATCGATATCAACGGTTATGGTAACTTCTTCTTCAATAGTGAGATCGACTTGGGGTCTTGTTATCTGAGTCTTAATATTAAGTTTTTCAGCGAGAATTTTTATCATCTTTGTACACACGAATAGTATGTACGTATTTACATACGTATGTACGTGAGTAAATTTATCTGTACAGTATATCAGACGCCATATTTGTGTAAAATTTACCGTATTCCTCCGAAATAAGCATCACCCTGTTACAAAAAGGGTGCTTATTTTCGGAGGAATAGGGTACGTACGTACGTACGTAATTCTTCCTTAAATATATTTGGTAAGACCTAGATTGTGTACATACGTACGTATCCTTTTTATATTATCGGTTATGAATTATCCCTAAATAAAATGGCAACTTCTTCAATCGAATGGCTCGAAAAAGCCGTTTACGAAAATCAACTTAATTATATTGACTATGATAAATTTATTTTGAATGAAAATATCGGAGTTGGTGGGTTCGAATGGAAAGACACAAGTTTAAAAGTTGTGCATGAAAAGTTAAATGCTGAAACATATTCTGATGAAAAGATTGTTAAAGAAGTATTGTATAATATCTGAATACTATGATTCTATAATTTCGTTATAGATTTAATTTATTTTGCAATATTTATAGCTTCAACTCTTACAAAAAGTTGGTTCTCACCCAAACGTTATTAGATTCTACGCAATAACTAAAGGTGTGTAATAATTATATGTGCAGCTTCTAAAAATAAATCATTTTATAAAATTCTGTTGTAACTATTTAGATCAATTAAGAAATTATTTTATGGTTTTGCAATATACTGACGGCGGAAATTTGCATCAATATTTGAAAGAGAAATTTTCAATATTAAATTGGACCAAAACATTGCATATCGCAAAAGGAATAGCACAAGGTCTTGCATTTTTACATTGTAGGGATGTCATTCACTGTGCTCTTGTAAGTGTTTTATTTTTATTTATAGTATCTGGCAATTAGTCTGTATTTTGTTATTAAATAGTTTGTTGATCTGCATAATAAAAATTTTTTTACTTATTTTGTCAAATGGGAGCCTCTAAACACTCTCATTTCATTTTCAATTTCAAGATTTTGATACATATAAGATTTTTTAAACTCTTATTTATTTCCGAAATACGTTATTTTTTTTAATTCTGAAACCCTTTAATGACGAAATTAATCAAGATTAGAGCAGATACAATTTGCAATGACTTCCGCATAAAGTAAGTATACCTTAATAAGGAATGCGATGAGGATTATATTATAACCTACAATATCATGTGTCATATCAATA